AGAGAGAGAGAGAGAGAGAGAGAAGATGTAACTTCTATGCTGTGATTTCAGTCTTAAGAGTCCCTTGTTGATGGTATTTTTAAATGGGATAGGGCACGGTTTGGTAGGAAGCCCACAGTTTGGGATGGTTTTTTGGTCTGCAGGGCCAAGTTATGTTGTAGTTTGCATTATCAGGTAGTCACTCTCATAGCAGATGGTGGGAGATCAAGCTATTTTTTTTTTTTTAACTGTAGACTTAGTCCTCAGTCCAGATGAGGAAGATTAAAAGATTGTAGATATCCTACTGGATGAGGTGATTCTTTTTTGAAATGATCATAAATTTGTGTAAATTGTATCTTATTGGGAGATTAGATAGGAGAGTATGTGCACTTAGATCTTAGAATGGATTACCTATTTTGCATTTGCTATGAATGCCTTTATGAGCTGTTATACCATGTTTTGTGTGTTGAAATATTTGAGTATAAATGAAATTTATGAAAAATATTAATGGAGTATAACTGTGATAATTAAAAGTAAATGAGGACCTGAATTTGCATCATGACCTGCTTAAGTGTCGATCAGAAAATAGCTCTGAAGAAAAAATTTTACACGAGTTGCAGCTCGCTTTAAGAAACCATTAATATTCTTTCCTTATATTGTATATTTCTAGAACCCTGGTTTGCAAAGTTGAGACTAAGACTGAAAAACTAAATTATACTTTAATTTAATTTATGTTTGTATTTCAGACACCAAAGGCTTTATTCCCTGCTGGACAGGTTTCGTCTCTCCACGGTACAAGACTCACTTAGTCCCTCTCCTCCAGTTTCTTCCCACCCGCTGGACGGGGACGGGCATGTGTCACTGGAAACAGTGAGTCCGGACAAAGTGAGTGTCCAGTGTTGCTGTGTGCAAGGCACAGGGTGTGCACAGAGGCACCGCACTCCTCTCTCTCTGCCTGTGGCAAATCCGGAGTGTGCAGGGGGAGGCTCAGTAGACCCAGGATGTTCTGGCACTTGGCCCAGGTCATTAGCAGCTCTGGTTGAGGTGTGGGGTGGAGACATTTGGGGGCCATGAAGGCCCTAGTGAGAAAGGCAGTGCTGATGTGGGACTCTCATGGCAGGAGTCGGGGGGTCAGGTAGTTTATGGGTGAATCAGAGGATGGTCAGCCGAGGCCTGCAGGGCCTTCACACACAGGTCGACACATTTTGCCTGCTTCCCTCTCCTCACACCCTTCTGGCTTTCTGACCTCCTGTGAATTGATGCTACCAGTGCTAATGACCTTGGTATGCTGTCCTCACCTTCAGTGCTCACACCTTAGGGATAGGGACCGTTTGGAGCTTTGGTAGAGCTTGGTACTCTACTTCCTGGATAGAGTTCAGTTTAAATATGAACTTAGATTTCAAAAACCAATAGCCCAGGCATAGGAAGGCAAAGGCTCTATCCTATATTCTCAGGCTTTATGTGCTAAGCACCTCCTCTGCCCTTGGTGCTGGGTGAGGGAGGGATGGTAGGTGCAGTGTCACATGAGGAAGGGCAGAGGAGGGGCACTAACCCTCAGTACCTTAGCTGAGTTTAGAAGGACTCTTGGAAGTTCACCAGGTGAAAGGGGTAGGGAGGGGGCGTTCAGTCAGGTAGCAGCATCCGGAGGAAAGGACTGGCAGTGTGGTGAGCCATAGTCCAGAGCAGGCTGGCAGCCAAGCCACGGTCCTAGTCCCAGGCAAGGGAAGCTCCTCGAATGCCGCCCAGTGCATTCCCCTCATACACCTTTTTCTTCTTCCCAGGACTGGTACATGCGTCTTGTCAAATCCCAGTGTTGGACCAGGTCAGATTCTGCACTGCTAGAAGGTGCAGAGTTGGTGAATCGGATTCCTGCCGAAGAAATGAGTGCCTTCATGATGAACTCGGTATGGCGGGAAGGTGGGGGGGGCAGGAGGTAAGGCAGTCCTTGGTTTCACTTGCTGTTGTCGAGGGGGATTTGCTTCAGCATCATGTGATCCATGATGCTTATTAACAGCACATGCAGGGAGACTCAGCTCCAGATGGGGTCCGGATTTGAGGGAACTCTAACCCAAATGGGGACAGGACAGGATGTGGAGGTCTCTAATCCAAACAGAGAAAGGACAGGATGCGGGGAGCTCTAACCCAGACAGGGACAGGACAGGACAGGATGTGGGTGGCTCTAATCTAAACAGAGAAAGGAAAGGATGTGGGGGGCTCTAATCCAAACAGGGACAGGACAGGACGTGGGGGGCACTAATCCAGGTGGGGACAGGACAGGACATGGGGGGCGCTAATCCAGATGAGGAAATCATGTTACTTCAGCCACATTAGAATCCAAAAAGAGACAAATTGTTTTTAATGCAACCTTTTGTGTATTTAAAGGAAATGTGGGCGGTCTCATGGTAATGAGGAAAGGTGTTGGGTTAGTATCTATTTTAATTTAGAACCTTTAAGCTGGAGAGCATGCCTTCAGTGATTAGGAGAGACAAGATGGAAATGATTTTATTACTTACTGTCCTGGGAGTGCATGGCACACCAGAGACTACACACACCCAGAGGGCTGGGGGAGCGCAGAGGAATGAAGTGTGTATCTGGGGCTCTCACTTTTACTGGGGTCCAGGGTGGAGAACATCAGCAGCTCAGGAACAGAGGAGTGATTGGGCAGTTGAAAGGAGGCAGGGGAGAAATTTGAAAACACATCCATCGAAACCCTTTCCTGTGAGGAGGTGTTATCTTAATCCCGCTGGCCCCAAGGCTGAGTATATGGTGTGGGGTGAGAGCTCTCTGGCCTCAACCAGAGGAACAGACACAGGAATTTACAACTAAGTTAGCAGGCCAAACACCAAGTGGACACCGAGGCAGCATGTGTGCCATAGGCTTTGGCACAGTGTCTTAGTGTATGATCTAAAGAATTTGTTCATTGTGTTCTGGAAGTTGACCTTTAGTAGTAAAGTAGACCCCTGGATGTAGCAAGGTTCCCGCTCCCGTCCCCCCAGCTAGATGTAGTGAGGCTCCCCCCCCCCACCGCTAATGTCAGAGGACATTTGTGCAGAGCTGGCCAAGGAGGCCTTCCAAAGCGTCAACATCCCTGTCCTCTGCCCCTCGTGCGGGCCCTGTGAGGAGGGGGAGCTTCCTCAGAGGTGTGGTGCGGCTGTGGCCTCAGCAAGTTCCTTTGCAGACTTCCTAGGACAGGGAGCTGATGGGACTTCTTGGGGTCTTAGCCCAGTAGGCACCTCAGTAGGCACCAGGCGGGAATATCGTGGCACCTGGGGCAGCTCAGCATGTGACTCCAGGAGTGGGCACCAGGTGCTCACAGAGGGAAGGACAACACCGCAGTGTGGTCTGAAGGGGTATTTTTGATCAGGTTGAAAATAAGAGCTACACTGAAAAAAAGAGGAAAATTTGCCCAAAGTCTGTTTACTAAAATTTAGTTTATCTTGAGATCCAAATATGGAAAACTGTTTTACTGAATGGTAAATTTGCTTGCTGACCAATTTATTGGATTTTTTCAAATTTGCTAATTGGGTTTTAATAGCTTTAAAGGTTCTGGCTGTAACAGGAATGTTTAGTTTTGGGCACTTGATAATGCTTTTCTGAATATTAAACTAAGATTAATGTTCTGCCTGAAAAATTGACCCCCCAAAATCCTTAAATGGCTTTAAAAAAAGGTTGGCAAAACACAAAAGTGTCATATGAAATGCTGTTTTTCCAACGGATATTTTTGGCTTTTATATGGCTATTTTGACTTATTTCAGCTGCTTTGAACATCTTTTTCAAACTCTAGGAATGTCTGGTGTGTTGCTGAGTTCTTGGATGGCACATTAGCTTTGATTTTCTGGGTTTTTATTTATTTATTTATTTTCTTTTTTGAGACAGTCTCACTCTGTTGCCTGGGCTAAAGTGCCATGGCATCAGCCTAGCTCACAGCAACCCAAAACTGCTGGGCTCAAGTGATCCTCCTGCCTCAGCCTCCCAAGTAGCTGGGACTAACTACAGGTGTGTGCCACCATGCCCAGCTATGATTTTCTGTTTTTATCAATTAAAATTTTTTCGTACTAAAATTTTTATTTCAAACGAATCCAAGAACATAAGAAAATATTACTTTAAAATT